TGAGGATGGGGAGACGATTGTGAAGGCTTTTCAGCCATTGAAGCTCTGAACTAAGCTGATTTAAGCGGTTGTCGCAAAGGTAACGAAAAACCCATATCACCGAACCTTTAAATCTCGATATCTTGGTTCATATTGTATAATGAGTTATGAAATAGGGCTTGTTAGAATCGTAATAAGAAGATCTATAAATTTGTAGAAGGAATCAGGATGAAATTCGAATCGTAGAAGGAGGATATGGCTTCAGGATATAGTAGGTATTAACAGAAAAGATGGGAAAATTTCAGAAAACGCAAGGAAGAAGAAGAAGCGCGTGCACTACACGCAGGCGTGTGAGGGCCGCGACTGGGTGTGCGACTGGGCGTGCTCCTGGCGCGTGGGACAGACACACCGAGGATGAGAGGGCGCGTGAGGGCGCGTGAAGCATCATTTTGGGTTCCCGGTTTGTCCCGTTCGATTTGTTTTGACCTGTTCTACCTAGATTGACCTATACTTACCTTGAAAATGGTGAAATATAGGTCTAATTGGAAGGAATTGTGTTGAAATACCCTATTAAATGTACAATCAAGAGAGAAAGGGATTCGAAACCAGGTAAGTAGCGTATCGATCTTTGAACTAGTTCTTAACTTGTTTTACAACATGTGAGTATGTTGTTTACCTGATTAAGAGCTTAATATGTTATGATGAGCTTTGATGATATTGAGTGTTTATTGTATATTGTGACTGCTTGCCTGTGATGTAAGCATGATATAAATGATTGTCAGAATGTTCTATGTGTTGAACATGATACATGTATGAAAACATGCAGTAACGGTGAGTATGTTATGCATGTTAATAGAAATGTTATGACTCTAAGATATGCTTATTGGTTGTTGAGCTATGGCTTATTTATATGGGTATGATAGTCTACTAATTCCCGCGGAGTTCCTGGCCAACGCGCTGTGTGCTAAGTCAGGGAGCATGAGTACTCCTGACCGTTGGTATATGAGATAAACAGGCCGCCAGAGCAATTAGTAGACGGGCCGTATTTGACCGAGAGCGAGTCTTACATACGAGTCCGAAAATTCTAGATAAGCATATTGAGAGAGAGTCAGTAACCTAGCTGGAGGTAGCTGAGATACCTCATTTACGAACAGATGACCCTAGTAAGAGAACTAGGAGTCAATGATGAATAAATTTTAAAAAAACACCTGGAAAGATTAGTTATGAATTCATGAAAGATAAAGTTGGCTACTTACTGGGTAATTTAATTACTCATCAAAATTATTTTTAACTTTTGTTTCCAGATTTAGTTGATGCAGGCCAACCGAGGACGAGGACGAGACCAGCGGGCTAGAGACTATTTGGGAATCCATGTCTGTGTCTGTTTTGTGTACTTATGCTTTCGCTGTCAAGAATCTACTTCGGTTATTTTAAGTTTAAATAGCACTGGTTTTAAATGTTTTACTTGATGTTTTTGGAAATATTTTTTTTTGAAATTTATCATTGGTTGTCGGAGTTTATTATCGAGGTCAGTGGTAACTCCTGTGAATCGCGTTGACGATGAGCAGGTGTTACAATAGGATAGTTGCATATTTAATTCCTAGTCTTGATTAGAATAGGGCGTTTGCATTTCATTCATTTATATTAATTAATTTGTAATCGTTTTATTTTATCTTTTTGAACTCCAGCACGATGTTTGAAACACGTAAGTCCGGCAGTGTTTTCCAATGTTTTAATGTATTCTGAAGTTTTAAATTTTTCCGCTAATAAAGATGAGCATGCTTAGGTTTTTATTCTGTATTAGAGATGAGCATGAGACGTTAGTGGCGACTCTAGATATGTGGAAATTTAGGGTCGTTACATAGATGTTGCCAGACGCCACTAGGTCTCTGATTAGTGACAGTTCGAGCACATAGCTTAAGAATCCATGAATAGAGCTAAGTCTGACAAGAGCTTACAAGTAGGTTTCTTTCTGAGTATTTTTGTATACATATTTCATGTTGTTTCTATTTTTTAGGTGAAAAGTAGGATCGGGTTGGTGGCGGGAACGTGCAGAGTCGTGCAGCTGCAGAAGAGGCCCTTAGATTGAGTGCTCTCCTCCCATGTCATTTTGGATATGATTTTGATGTTTTTTGGAAAATCACGTGATATTTTGTAATCGTTTTCTTTTGATGTTACTCCGCGGATTCTTGTTATGTGTTTTGTAGTATTTTCGATTTTGAAATGTATATCAGACAACTTTTAATTTTTCAGTCCCCTGTTCTGTCCAAAGAAGTATTGAAGGCTTTTACTCTTGAGTCCACGTGGCGACTCGTGATTCAATGCTTCGGAGAGCGGTCGTTACAATTTATCTTCCTTTTTTTCTTGTTATTACCGATTAAATTTTTGGATAACCCAAAATTTGGATCTAAGTTGCTCATTAACATTTTTTTTGTTAGGTGAGCATGACCAACCCAAAAATAGAAATACAACCCGACAGAACTCTACCTTACATTTAAAATTATAACGAAAAATAAGAATATTTGTGTTTGGAATAGAAGTTAATAATGCGTTAGATATTTGAATTTAATATAATTTTAGTTATTAAGGTAAGATAAAAGAAAAAAATATATATATATCCAAAAAAAAATTGGGCCATATTAATTTTGAACTTTCCCTCTAACCCATGCTTATGCAAATTTAGAAAGAAAAAAAGAATCAATTCATTTTGCATAAAATTTTGAATTTTATATGAGACAATAAAATAAATTAAGGTGTTTTTTTGAAAGAGTGCTCCACAATATTGGTATCCAAATCTAATTAACTTAATAAATTATGATTTATTTGGTATTCAAATCATTATCTTTACCATTAATAAGAATAAATAATAAATACCAATCCAAAAATAAATCATAAATAGTTTTATTGAATTAATGCTTACAAAATTGGTAATATAACTACACTTTTATAATCTCAAACTTGATGGTATGAATGGTTTTTTTCCTCCTAATATTATAATCCTAAGTTATTCATTAAAATATTATTTCCATTCATGCCCTCAATTTATCTCGTAAAATAGGAGTTTTGTAGGGACTTGCCCTCGAGCGAAGTATGGAATGGGAGAAAGACATTCCTTTTCCGATCTCACCCTATGGACATCTCTAACTCGACTTCTCCTTTTCTATTTTAATTCTTATTAGTAAAATTTTTTATCGGGACTTTTTCATAATTTATATATATATATATATTTGTATAATCTCTACTAAAAATAAAAATGGGAAGGAAAAATATAATGCAAACATATTTTTAGTATAATTTAAAAGGGGATTTAAAGTGGAGGCTAAAATAGTATTTTAACTATTTTTAAAATAATAATAATAATAAAAAAAAAAAAAGTTGAAGACGAATGATTTGGGCCGGGAAATGTTATCCAAAACGGATGCGATTTAAAAAAAAAAGTATAAAAATAATTTGGCGTTTTGATGCAAACTTTCCAACTACCACCATCTTCAGCGTCTCTACTAAGCAATTTCATCCTTTGTTTTTTTCTCTCTGATAATCTCTGATCGTCTTTTACTGCGTACATAATTCGTAAGACTGGTGCTTGCGTTTTTGCATTCTTCTTCTTCAATCTTCACAGGTAATCAATCAATCATGGCCGTATTCCCCTTTCCTTCTGAGGGTTTTCCCACCCCGCTCTTCTGTGTTTTTTTTATGTATCCACTTTCTTTCATTTCAATTTCTCTGCCTATTTTGGTATCTTCTTTAATGATTTTTGTTTCTGATCGTTCTGGAGGGGTCTGATTCACTGACAATTTAACTTTCCATCTCGATCGGGAGTTAATTCTTTGCCTTAAGAGTGTTTTTCCTTGTTTTTAGCTTGAGAGGTGATGAATCTGCTGGATTGTTTGGTTTTTATCTTCGACTTTACATGGATCATTACTTTTATTCTATTGTCATGTTGTTCTAAGAACTGCGTGGCTTTTTGTTCTGCGATTTGTTCGACTCCCTAGGTATTTCGATGGGAAATAGTGTTGTAAATTTCATTTTTCTTTGATTCTGTGGGTACAACTAGTGAACTCAAGACTGGATACATACTCTATTTTGGATCCCTAATTTTGTGTTGTAAAATTTATAATTAACTTTGAGCTACCAATCGGTTTCAAAGAGAAGAAGAAGAAGATTGTTTCTGCTGATAGTTGAGCACTTAGGTTTTTATGTTGCAGATTGTTGGGGGCAATTTTCCCTTTGGAATCCTCTCTGTAGTTGTGGTGTTATCAAGCAATAGATCTTTGTTAAATGGGGTCGGAAGGGCCTCCATCGGTGACGATTCATGTAACAGGATTCAAGAAGTTCCATGGAGTTTCTGAGAATCCAACAGAGACGATAGTGAACAACCTGAAGAAGTATATGGAGAAGAATGGTTTGGCAGAAGGTGTAACTCTTGGGAGTTGCAGCATTCTTGAGACTGCTGGGGATGGAGCTCTTGATTCACTACTTAACATGTTGCAATCTGCAGTAGAGGAGAAGGGTTGTTCCGAACCTACTAGTAATTCCAGAAGAATCATCTGGGTCAGTTATTCCTGTCCCTTCCTCTAACCTTTCTCTCTTTAATGCTTATGATCTGCTCATCATTAGTTCTTTTGGTTGGGGAGGAGAATGAAACACTCTTTATAAAGGTGTGAAAACCTCTCCCTAGCAGACGCATCTTAAAAACTTTGAGGGGAAACCCGAAAGGAAAAGCCCAAGGAGGACAATATTTGCTAGCGGTGGACTTGGACCGTTACATTTGGTGTTAGTATCTACGAGTAGACAATCATTTGGTGTTAGAGGAAGAAATTAGAAGAAATTAGAAGAAAATTGGGTTTGTATAAGATCATAAGCATTGAATTGACATTATCTTATACAATAAAGATAAATGCATCATAGTTTCTGAATCTATGCATTAATCTGCCTTCATTTGCCATTTCCTTCGCATTACAATGACTTTTTACAAGTTTGTGCATTGCATTATGCTAATACTCTATCTAAGTTATCATATCACTATTCTTTCTTCAGCTTCACTTGGGAGTTAATAGTGGTGCCTCTAGGTTTGCTATTGAACATCAAGCCTATAACGAAGCCACGTTCTGTTGTCCTGATGAGTTGGGATGGAAACCTAAGGTACGTGTATCTATCTATCTATCTATCTATCTATCTATCTATCTATCTATCTATCTCTTAGGCTTGGTGGAGTTTAGTTTAGTTGGCTTGGCTATCTATTTAACTGCAAGTTTGATATTCTGTTATTACTTTCATCTGCTGCAGAGAGTTCCAATCGTACCTGAGGACGGTCAAATTTCACGAGTACGAGAGGTATCATGAAATTACACTTCGATTTTTTTTATTTTTTTTTTATTTTTTATTTACTATAGATTACCATTTCTTTTAAAATATTAGCATCTGTTAAAATACATTTATGCACATCTATTGAACACATTGTACATATTAAGCACTTCAATGTGTATAAGTGTATAAACTCTACTGAAATGGAATTCTTTCTAATAAAATACCAAGTCATTTAGAATAGTGTTAGTTTATTTCGCTATGTCCTCACCTTATCATATATTGCAAATATCATTAAGAGCATAGATGGGTGAAAATATTGAAATGTAATTTTAAATAATGTACTTGTTTACATAATCACATCTCATTGTGTCACAACATCGAAACATTGTAACAAGTTGAATTTAATCGAAGAAGATTGCAAAGGCATAACCATAAACTTATAGAAACTATAGCACCTTTTTGCTGGTTCTTAACTCTTGATGCAAATCATGAAAGTTTTCTCTCTTCTTTTTTTCCTGATTCCTTTACTACCCATCTCTGCCCTGCAGACTTCTCTTCCAGTGGAGGAAATAACCAAGGCATTGGCGAAGAAGGGATATGAAGTGATGACTTCAAACGATGCTGGTCGCTTTGTGTGCAATTATGTCTACTATCATTCCCTCCGCTGCGCCCAAGAGAATGGCATCAAATCACTATTTGTTCATGTCCCTCTATTCGAAACCATAGATGAAGACACCCAGATGCAATTTATTGCTTCCTTGTTACAGGTTCTGGCATCAAGCTATTAGGCAACCAATGTATAGTATTGGGGTGATTCCTGCTTGTCAAGATGCTTGAATGAAATAAATAATGATATGCTATACAAGGGGGGCTAATATATGTAGCCCGAAAAGGCATTCATATGTTCTTTGTACTCATTTCTGTCGAGATCAACAACATTTGGAACTGACCATGCCTGTTTTATGAATGAAATGTTGAGTTTGCCAGTGAAAAGATCTTGGAATTAGGTGTTCTTTTATTTGCTTCATTAACTCTCCTCATATTACATTATGTCAGTGTCGATCTCGAACGAGTTTAGAGCACCATAATCTCCACATAAGTGGTGCAACTAAATGGTAAAACATTAACAGAGGACAAGTTAAAGACAGTCATGTGTTGAAGAATATGGTACTTGAAAGGAAAGCAATGAAAGGCTCATAGTCTAGATGTGTAGGATTCCAAATTTGATGAAATTGGTGCTTTATATAGAGTAGGAGGTTAAAAACAAGAGAAGCCGAGTAGACTTGTACCAGTAACTGATTCGTGGATTATCCCCAATCTACAAAAGGGAGAGGTGGGTAACCACCCTCTGGAGGAGGCATCAATGATGGAGGTAAATTTCCCCATGATGTTCTCAATCTATCTAAACTACCTGAGATCAAACGCAAGCATAGAAAGTTGAAAAATATGAAAGATTAGAGGGCCATCAAATCCTGGGATAAAAGATTCAAATGTGTAGCAGAACGCAGAATGCTTTACAGATACAAAAAAACAATGATGGATGCTGTTCAAACAAAGAATGATTTGCAGATGCACAACAAGCACTAAGAGAGTTCAAGTCCTGTTCAAATCGAGCGGAGATGGGAGTTGGTTGGTCATCATTCGTATGAGTGGGCGGCAATTTGCTCCCGTAAATGATGTATGTAATGATCCACTCAAAATTTAACCAACATCAGGATTTTATGAATGAACAAATAAAATATGGAACACAAAACTATGTGATGATTTCAGTTCCAAGTTACCTGTCAACGAACTGCCCTCCATGAATTGATTCACCGGAATATTTGGGGCTTGATTATTCTCCGGAAAACCTGTGATTTTTATATGGAATCAGACCGGAAATGGATCGAAATAAATAGCATTAGGTTTCGAATTTTGCATTGGGTTGTTGAGATAGAGTAAGGTAGAGTTTAGGGTTAACCTGCAATGGGGTGCGAACTCGAGTACTGCGGATTGTTGTTGGAGTGAAAATAGTTGCAAGAATCACCGTACTGGCAAAAGCCCTTGGGAATCGTGGAGAGCAAAGAATGAAATCGGAAAGAGCAAAAGGTAGGTTAAATAGAAAGAAGAATATACCGTAGTGAGGAATCGGTTACAGAGGCGTGTTGGAAAGGCATGAGAGAGAGGTTGATTGGAGTCTGCAAGGAAGAGGAAGAGGAAGAGAGAGTTAGGAAGAGAGGAGGAGGATATGAGGGGAAGAGGAGAAAGCGGAGAGACGGAGGAGGAGGACCTCACCTCTGAAGGAGTCGAACCAGAGAGCTTTGGCCTTGTGATGGGAGAGGCTTTGAAGATGGCGCTTTCGAGCAAACGGAGTGTCTTGGAATTGCTTCTCGCAGTAGTCGCAGTAATATTTTCCGAGAGGCATCTTCTTTCTTCTCCTCCTTTCTTTTTCTTCTTCTTCTTCTTCTTCCTCCAAATCAAACAACAAAATGCAAGGATTCACCTCTCTTATACCCATGGATCTACGGGTGTATGAACTTTTTTTTTTTTTTTTTTTTT